GAACAAAGCAAGACAAGGAAGGGCGGGGCGTGGGGGCTGCAATGAGCGGGGTCCGACAGCTGAAATTTGTGAAAAAAGGGAATTTGTGTGGGTGGGGCAGGGCAGGGGGTAGGGGGGTAACTGGCGTGGGGATCAGAGGGGGCAGCATGCGAGGGCACGCGGGCCGCCAGCGCCCGGAACAGGATGACAGCCTTCGGCGCAGGCGCCCTGCGGGCGCGTCGGAGGCGCCCGCGGCGCCGCGGCGCCGCTCCGCCCCCACGCGGGCGGCAAGGCGGCGCGCCCCACAGCGCGGGCCGGCTTGCGCACCTTGAGGGCCGCCCTGACAGGGCGCACGACCTTCATGGCCGGGTGATAGCGCGGCGCGTACATGAAGCCGACGCCGGTCTGGTCGACGCAGCGCGCAACCCCCTCCGGGCCCAGATCGATCTCCACGCCCAGCGCCTGCGCGGATGCAGGTAGTGTAGGTTGATGATGAAACAGGTCAGCAATCAGTACAGGTAATCAGTTTGATGTTCGAAAGGGTGGTTCGCAACTCAGACGGGTGATCGCTATTGATGAAAGGGTTGGTTGGCGGGGCGGTTGCGTGCGTGTGCATTCGTGTTTTGGGGGGAGGGGGGCTGCGGCCACGGGTCTCCACAGCGGAGGGCCGCTCCGCCAATGCGGCCGCCAAGCGGGGCCGGAGGGGAAGGGCTCCAGGGCCGCGATGGCGGGGGCAAAGGGGCGGCGTCTTGCGCGGCCCCGGCCGCAAGCCGTGCGGCCCCCGTACCCAGGAGTGGCACTGCCGGGGCGTGACGCAATCGGCCCCCCCCTGCTGCCCCGTCAGGCGCACCCATCAGGCGGGGCGGCCCCAGGGGCGAGCCGGCCTGATCAGACAAACACAGCACGCTGCCGCGGGCCTTTGTGACCCTTCGACCCCGGTCGGCGCGGGCCGGCTGGCCCAGGCCATCCGCCGTTTTTATCCAAACCTTCACTCCAAGCTGGCCCGAGCAGGGCCGCATCAAAATAGACAACGTGCACACCACCGCGCCGCCCGTGGGGCCCCGCACCCACCTCCAGCACGTCCGCGCTGCCGCATAGGCTCGACACCGAGCGGTTGCCGTGCTTTGCCACGCGCCCGCCTGCCGCCGCGACGATGACACTCGCGCCCGTGCTGATGTTGACCGAGCCGATGCCGTCGCCGCCGGTGCCAACGATGTCAACAACTGTTGACCGTTGCACAACAGGATTGCACGATGCACATAATCAGGGTTGCTGTTATCTACAACAGCATCAGGACCGTTTTGACGGTGGCATCAGGGCGGTGTGCTGACGTCAGTGCATGCTCCCGTGAGCGGGGACACCCCAAGCCGCGGCTGCCAGCTGGGCGCATAGCGCCGCTGCACTCGGCGCCCATCCCAAAACAACATGGCTGCGGCGCCGCGGCGCAGCGTCGGCCGCCGCCGTCTGGCGGGAGCGGCCGACGCTCTCTCTTGCTGCCCCTCCGGCCGGGCAGGGCGCGCCGGGGTCAAAAATCCACCACCCCTACCCCAGCCGCCGCTGTGGTGATCTCACCGCCCTTTGCTGTCTCAACGTGCAGACCGCGCTGCAGGAACGCCCGCGCCATGCCCGCGATCTCGTCGGGCGTCTCGCCCTGCATAAGAAGATGCGATTAAGTGCATCATACATGAGGATATGAAAGGCGGGGCCGTGGGACGGGCGCTGGCCATCGCATAAAGCGAGGCGCTGACGTGTGTGGCGGGCCGGGGCCGCTGCTGTTATGGGTGGCCGGAGCACGCCACGAGGCGGGCCGTGCGTTTGAATCTTCCGCAGCTGTCGAGCTTGCGGGCGGCCCGGCGCGAGTGTCCGGGCCGCGCTGCGCGCCCACTGCGGCGCCCGCTGCGGCGCCCGCTGTGGCGCCGTGCGCGCTGCCCGTGAGACACGGCCGCGCGCCGCCGCGCCCCGCACCTTGGCGCGCAGCAGCACGAGGAACGCCGCCGTCTGCTCTGGCGAGAAGTCGTCCAGCACACTCTGCGGGGGAAGGCAGAGGGGCGCCGCGGCGCGGGGCAGTCGCGGCGCAGGCAGAGGACGGTGCGGTGGGGTCTGGGGCACGCAGGCTGGCGGGGCGAAGGCGCCCCATTGACCGCGCCTTGTGTGCGCGCTGCTAGCTTGGCATGGGCCGCTACTGCGCTTCTATGTGACGTTTTGTCGCGCGATCCAGTCTGCTATTGGGGCCGGCTGCGCATACCTGCCCGGCGCGCTTGGCTCACCAGCAGCGCATCTTCAGACTGCTGCTGCGACAGGTCTTGCCGTGCAATGAGCGCCTCGATAATCTGCAGGGGCGCTCCGTGTCACCATTCGAGCCTTTGCATTGGCTTCAACGAAATTGAGAGCCGTACCTCCTTCATTGGCTGTGCTGCTGCACGAGTGCTCGATCTGCTGCTCGGCACCCGGCGCACTGTAGGCCGCACGCTCGCATACGAGGGAGTGCAGATGCCGCCATAAGCTGGCCTCCCGGTGCGGTGTGCTTGGATCATTGCCGCGTCCCGTTAGTGAACTGGCTAGGTGGGTTTGCCAAAGAGCCCGCCTGACGCTAGAGGCAGACACAAATGACCGGGAGACGAAATCATATGCAATCAACCACGCTGCCCATCTCGCTGCATGCTCACTCATCCCTAACTGGCAGCTGGGCAGGTGCCACCTCCCCCTGGCAATGTGGGAACGGTGGACATTCATGCACCGCCCGTAAGCCTATCAACCCGATTTCTTGCTGATAATGTGCCGAGTGGCGGTTCAAAGGACGTGGCGCATCCAAGGGCGAACTGCGCTGCAACCGACCTGATTCCCCGGGCCCGGGCAAACGTACATATGCCAGGACCTTCTCACAGTGCGTGCGATGCAGCTTTGAAAGCACTGAGCGTGCGTGCAATGCAGAATCTAAAGCACTGAGGTGATACTGCTGCCCAGGTGACGGCTTGCTGATCGGGCCACCCGCCTTCCAGCGGGGCAACGCAGGCGCACTCAACATCCCCTTGCACCTACAAATACGACGATCCAGTGATCTAACCAAACCTGAGTTTGAGCACGTTAACTCACGCACACAATTGCATGACAATTTTGGTTACACGGTATCAGCAAACGTGACGTGTTTGGTGTGAAAGGTAAGCATATTGCATTGCTGCATTACTGATCCGACGAAATGCCCAGCTTGCAGGGACAGCAGAGACAGCATAGCTCAGGCAACTCAATACCCCTTGTTGATATACGTTTACGTGGTGGGGTTGTACAATTTTAAGGGGCATTCTTCACAACGGCAGTTGGTTTTGTGCGCGCCGCAGACTTGCGCGATGCCAGCACAGGGGTGGCCCTGGCTGCAGCCGCAACCAGCGGGGAAGGATGGCGTCCCGGGGCCGGGGGTATGACAGTGACAACCAGGAAGCGGCCCTGCCTCTTGCTGGTCTGTTGAAATACGGTCAACAGCTTGAAGGAGCGATATTGACTGGGACACAGGCTGCAAATGCAGGCAACGCGCGTGCTGCTTGAGCACAGAGCGCTCCTTGCGAGGCTTGGACATATACATGCTGTGTGTGATTGCCGGGCGGCTGCCCCAGGCACGCCGAGCCAAAGGCAAGGGGTTTCCAACCAAGCATAAGAGGGTGAGACAAGCGCGGTGTCGGCTTCGGAATCGTGGATGCAGCAACTGTTCACCGACATCGTGCGGTGATGGCGTGCGCCGCCTGGTGCAGCACTGCAAATTTTGACAAGATGGTGTTGCTATTGTCAAGACACTCAACAAAGGCTGGGAAAGAGGATGAAATATCTGATTAGCCCGATGTTTGGCGCAGCGGATCGCACACTTGTTGTTCGAAGTACTTTTGAGCCACATCAATCGGAGCACACAGCAAACCCCAGCGCCGCCGCTGCGCCTGTCATCAACTCAGGAGGCCGCTGGAAAGATGTCCTAGCGGAGCAACGCCAAGTGGCTGCAAACCCTCAGCGGCCGCGCAGCAGGTACTCTGTGGCGACCATTGATGCAAACAGCACCACCTCGCCGGCGTTGCCAGTTACAAATTGCGGGAGGCGCTTGCTGTTTGGGTCGACCAGTTCGCCGTCCTGCAGAGGCGGAGGTGCCGGGCGTACATGAGTGACTTTTTGGAGAGAGCGTGATTTAGGTGGTGTTCAAGGCGACCGATTGTGGATTTGCTGAGGGCGTTGAAACTGTCGCACCTGGCCTGGGGTTGTGTGCAAAGCTTTGACTTTTGGCCATCATCCACCCGCCAACCTCCGCTCCTGGAGACGCACATGCATACACATCCCCAGCAGCCCACCACCCAAACCTGTCCTTCCCAACAAAAACACACATACATGCATGCACGCATGCATGCATGCACGCACGCACACATGTGCATGCCTGCACGCTCGCACGCATACGCACGCGCACATCCCCACCTTCGCGGACGGCCACGCGTTCAGCAGCAAGCTCAGCACCGGCCCCACCGCAAACGGCCACGCCGCCGGGTCCTCCCCCGCCGCCTGCACCCCCAGCGCGATCAGCACAAGGTTGGTCAGGAGCACAGGGACCACTTTGGTGAAGTCCAGTGAGCCGCGGTCGTGCGCAAAACGCAGGATGCCGCGCGCCCAGCGCGGCGCGATGGTCAGGAACGCTGTGTTGCGGACGCTGCTGACGGCAACGACCCCCAGCACGCCCAGGCCAACCAGGCCTTCGTACACGGGGTCGGCTGCCCAGCCGACGCCCGCGCGGCCGGCGAGGTTCAGCCCGGCGATGACGGCGAGCGGGGCGCCCGAGTGCGCGAGGAAGCGCCACTCGCTGAGGCCCCGCAGCGCATCAATCCTGGCGTCGGCGGCCTGCTGGGCCGCCTTAGCCTGCGCGGGGCTGGATGCGGAGGCCCTGGCGTGGTTGGGGTCGTTCAAGGGGCCGGCGATGTAGCGGCCGGCGACGAGGAGGGCGTTCTCGTAGGCGAGGGCGAAGGTCAGGCCTGAGATGATGAGCAGGCCCAGCTGGGTTTCACCAGAGGCGCCTGTGATTGCAGCATGGCAGGGGCGGTGAGAGCGGCCATGGATGTGTAGGGGACGCCCGGTTGGTTTGGCTGGGGTTAGGGGGTGCCAAGGACGGTGCAGGCGTACAGTTTGCGCTCCCACAGGTGAATGGTGAATGGTGAGCGCTGTGTGATTCGCTCTTGCGGGGACAGCAAAGGTGCAGGGGTCCCCCGAACGACACGGAAAGCTGCAATGACTTGCATGCAATGTAAATACCAATGTAACTTGCAAGATCAAATACAGCAGTACGCAATTGATGCACGGCCGTCCAATCGACAAGATGAGATGTTGCTTGCACGCACGCGCAACCTTGCACAGAGATCAACAGTGCCCTCAACCCCTCCCTGTGCACGTCCTGACACACTCCATACCTGTAGACTGCGACAGCAGCCGCGCTGCCAGTGTGCTCGCCGTGGCCTGCGCGACTGCGTAACCCCCCAGGAGCAGCTCCAAAGGCAGGTTCCTTTTGATGTTGTGGGCGATGGCCTCCTTGAGGTTGTCGTATTCCTCCTGTGCCACTGTGAATTTGGCCTGGTATTGCAGGTCGGTGTCCGCCGTGGTCTTCACCACCAGGCTGTTTTTAATGTCCTGTTGTTGCAGGATTCACCGTGCAGCAGGGGCAAATGCAGGAGTGTGGTCATTTCTTGTGCAAAGTTGCAGTCATCTTTCATTAGACTACTGATTTTGAGAGTTTGAAAAGCTGCACATGTATGAAAATACGGGAGTCCAGCTCAAAGTTGTGCAAATGGGACAAGTGCATGTGCGCACGCGCACGACCGTGGACGCGCGAACGCACGCAGGCACCTGCACCCACACACACACACACACACACACACACACACACACACACACACACACACATACACGCACACGCACCTTGTAGTTGAAGATCGGGTCAATGATCTGTTGCAGCACCTGTGCTGTCACGTCCTTCTGCTTCCTGGCCGCCTGTCCCTGCATGACCGCAAATGCCAGGAGTGAAGAGACACTCATGTGCGAACATCACTGACAGCGTGTGTGGGGGTGCATTGCATTGAATTTCCACATCTCAACTGCCCCTGCCCCTTTCCGATTTCCTTACTCACCAGCAGCACCGTTTCAGCGATTGGGATGACAAAGAGGTTGATGGCAGACAGGGCCCCTTTGACCGCGGCCTGCAGCAGCCCCGGCAGCGGCACCCGGGCCCCCTGGAATGTGAAGTCGGTGGGCAGATCCAGTTTATCCTCGTAGCCAGTGTGATCCCCCTTTATCTCAAACAGCGCCACCTGCTCACCCTGGAGACATGTCAGCATTTGCATGCGTGCACATGCGCGTGGGGCTGGGGACGCTTGTGGGGGACACCGGGAGAGAGTGCGTATAGGGGTGCATGGGTGCGTGTCGGCGTGCGTATGCATGTGCATGTGTCTGAAGATCAAAGTAAGTTGGTGTTGTTTCCAGAGTGTGGGAGGTCCGGGCTAGCTTAGCACGGGGATGAAGTGCGGCCCCTGTTGCACGTGCAGCTAGCTGCGACTGCTGCGTGTGCGCCGCGCCCTGACGCAAGGGCATTGGCCTGTCTTGATAACAACGAGCATCACATACAGTTGAGCCCCCGCGCCTGTCCCACCATGCAGTTTCGAATCCTCATGGTTTGGCGCTCCGCTGCCATGCAAACACAGCGCCATGGAACAAGCTAATTGTGAGCCACAAGCACACAGGGTGCGCCGGGTGGGCACAGCTGCCGTATGCCTCATACTTTGCGGGCCTGGCCCGCGACTGTGCTTGTGGGAGCGAGCATGCGCATGCCTTTACACCCTGCAACTTGGCACCCGCTGCCCAACACAGAGCTGTATACAAGCGGAATTTCCTGCCTGCACCCTACTCCACTGCGCACCTTTCGTGCCTGGGCTGCGACTTTGAACAGGCACTCCAGCGTGGGCCGAGGCGCGAGCACGTCCCTGTCAGGGCTGACGATGATGAGGGGGGTGTCCCTGGGGAACTCATTCTTGAAGAACGCGACGGCAGCGTCCGTGCTCCTCTTGTTGCCATCGAGCAGCCCTGCCGGGTACGGTTCGGGTGCAGGGTTGTTTCTTCAAGGCGTGTGGTGAGGCGCACTCGGGCTGCGACTTAACTGGGAGTGGGCGGTGTGCCGAGAAGGTGCATGCTTTTTGCATGCCACTTGTGGGGTGGCCGACGCTTCTGCAGGGCCGAATTCAGGCACCTTTTTCCCATCTGCAGTGCGCGTTGCCCCTGGGCTGCCATCCAGCAGCTGCATTCAGCAGGCCTCTCATGAGGGCCGTGCCCGAGAGACCTGTCAAGATGTGGCGGCCCTTCCCCAAGACCGGTCGCCGCTCACATATGTCGTCGTTGACCGGCGACTGCCGCATCTTGCTGACCTGCGCGCTGAGCAGCACCACGCCACGGATCTTGTCAGACTGCAGCTTGGCGGCGGCCAGGATGGAGCACGCGCCGCCAAGGCTGTGGCCCAGAAACAGCATCTGTGATGTGAATCGAAAAGGTATTAGTGACCATGATATCAAGATGGGTGGTATTCTTGTTTCGAGTATGCTGAGGCGACAAGGAAGTAGTGAGCTGGACGCGCGTGCAGGCACGTGGTGGGGTTCACATCAAATCTAGAGCCGTGGTGGCACGAGGTGTGTCAGGGTCAGCGTGCGGGCAGCGGCTGTAACCCATGAGCGCACCGAGCGCAAGCTGCGCAGTGAGCGCAGTGACGCCACTCATGCGGAGCACACGCGCACTCGTCATCACGAAGTATTCGAGATGACAAGTGCGCATGTGCTCCGCATGAGGTGGAGCGAGCGGACTGGAGC